CCCTGTGTATGGTTAACTGGCAGTGTCAACTGGCCACAGGTGCACAGATATTTGGGCAAACATTATTCTGAGTGTGTCTGTGAAGGTGTCTTTGGATGAAATAAACATTTGAATCCATAGACTGAGTAAAGCAGACTGCGCTCCCTAAAGTGAGTGGCCCTCATCCAGCTGAAGACTGAATGGAACAAAAAGGCTGACCCTTTGAGAGTAAAGGCAACTTCTCCTGCCTATTAATCTGGGACATTGGTCTTTTTCTGCCTTTGTGGATCTCAAGCCTGCTGGCTTTTGGACTGGAATGATACCATCGGCTTTCCTGGGTCTCCAGCTCGCCAACTGTAGATCTTGGAACATCTCAGCCTCCATATTTGTGAGTCCATTCTTTATAATCAACCAACCTCTCTCTCTCAATCTGTACTACACGCTATTGGTTGTTTCTCTGGAGAACCCTGAGTAATACATGCTGGTTGAGAACCACTGTTGTACATTAGGTTACTAGAGAAAATACAGGAAACAGGGAAGAAAGAAAGAAGCAAAGCAGGGAACTACTGGGCAATGGCTAGACGTTACCTTTCTTTCCAGCGATGGCAGGAAAGCATTTGAGTGGGACACCAATCTTCTATTAACACAGGTTATGGTTGATAAGACCTGGGCTCACTGATGCATTTTTGCATTACACATCCAAGATGGTCCCTGGCACAGAGACTTACTTACCCCAGTGCTAGGATGACAACACTTGGCAGACACTGCTGTAAAATAAGAACAGTCTATAAGCCGCACTTAAAAAAGGTTTTGTTTATGATCAAGTCACGTTAATTTATTGGTCGTGATAAAATACATGAAATCCACTGTTTTCATTCCAAATAGAGGATACAAAACTTTCTAAATTAATGTGTCGGAAGCAAACTCACGGTGCGTAAGGTGGGAAGAGTTTAACCATACAATGTACTATTCTCTGCGGTCTCCTGAATTTGCCATGTGTTACTTGTACGTGGAGGATTTCTTCTGTGGGCCGTTCTTCTTGCACAAGTGTTTGAATTCCAAGTTTCTTTGAAACTATTTTAAGTTCATATTTGATCTACGCTGACTAAATGACTTTATTTGGCACAAAATGGAGGAGCCGATGGCAGTTAACGTCAGATGCGTCGCAGCAGTTGTCTACTAAGCAGTCGAGCGTGGCACAGAAACATGCTGCAGCACAACGGGTTCTTCCAGGTCTTGAAGACAAAAATCGCAGTTGGTGATTCCCTGTATTTAAGACATCCAGGCTTGGGGCCGTATAATCTCACCAGTTTTCAAAAAGTCCAACCATACAAACATAGAAGTACAGCAGAGAACAATCATTTACAGATTTCACTCTTAGGAATTTAAAAATTAATTATAATAAAATCCCTTAGAGCTACATTTAACGTAAAACGTACAAAGACACAGATTACATTATGAAAACTCTTCGTGTGGCTTATTTTACCTCACTTACTACTAAAAAATGACACTTATCAAGGATCTGGGTTACAACACTAAGAATTTGCCTGGGCAGATGATCATTAATGGAATTATACCATTTTCCAGACTTTTCCCATGATTAATAGGTATTTCCTTCAGTTTAAAGTGAGGCCTTTCCAATGTTACTTTAATAGAACATAATGAATAACTATGTTATTAGCCCCACTCTATTTCTTGTCCCCATGTACTTTTTAGATGACCTACAGCAAAGAAACGAAAATGATATTTTCTCCATTGCTTTTGTTCTTTTTTTCCATGTGTAAACAATATGTTTGGGGTAACTTTCCATGAAGCTGAAATTGGCAAGGTTTTATTCCCAATAATGCCAATGAACGAATATCCCCCTTCCTAAAGTCTAAAGAGAAATACTGCTGATTAAACTACAAATAGAAATGGAATTCTGGTAATGTTGCCCCTCCTAGAGCATTTCTAAAAAATAAAAGGAAGAACTGTGTCAAAAAGTTATTGAATATTAAGTAGTATATGACTGCTTCTAAGACATTCTAGAGTTTACAGGTTGGAATACTGAAGTTAATAGGTTTAGCTATAGAATACATGCAGTTTTCTTTATATGCTTGGTTTTTATTAAGAATATTAAGAGAACTTAACACAATTCCTCACAACACCCCTGTGAGGAAGGGATTGTTTATGTCCACTTTACAAGTGAGAAATCAGAAAAACAGAGCAAGAAATAATAATCTCAAGATACAGAAATCAAGAAATTTTGGTTTTCTTATAAGGCAAACTGCACTTATGAGTACCAGAGTTCTGACAATATGCTAATAGGGACAAATACTGAAACAAGTCTGTTTTTCTCCAGAAAACAACTATATGTAGGATGTGGAAAGAAGAGAGAATCCTAAGTTGATCCAAGAAGAAAATGTCTGCTTGGTATTTGCCTCATACATTAATTAAGGTGCATCTAGCATTTCCAGTTTTAAGAGCTTGGTAATCATGCAAACCACATTATATGGTTAAGATTACAGCTCATTTTACAGATGATGAGGTCAAAACTAAAGGGTTTAGCTGAAAGAACCTTTTTTTTTTTTTTTTATATATACAAAGTAGATTCTCTTAGTAAGGAATCAAGTCTTAAAAAAATACACTCAGGGCACAATATTAATTATACGTGTAACAGTTATTTTTAAAATATGCCTGTTGAATGAATGAAAAAAATTAAACTGGGGTCAGTTCCCACACCACTATTCACTGATTCTCTGCAACCCACCTTTTGGGACTTTTTTCCTATAAAATGGAGTTAACATTTTCCCACTCCCTAAAATAGAATATTATGAAGACTAAAAGAAAGAACATTTGCTCTGAATTTCTAACATTAAAAGGAACTAAATGAATGAGAACAAAAATACAATTAACCATTATGTTCTTAACATCTAATAAGTATAAATACATTTCAGCTTTAAATTAATGTCTACCGTGGCCAATCAGCCACAAGCAAACACAATTTCTCCAGACTCTGCCCTGAACTGCTACCCTACACCTCAACTCATATGCACCCACAATCCCATCCTTCAGCTACGCACTTCTTGTGTCAAGGACTAATGACTGAGCAAGAAGAAAACAGAGAAGGAAGAAATCAGAAAAACTGTCATCCTAGTGCGAAAAATAAAATTTTACTTGAAGAAGGCCAGGGAGTATATCACGAATAGCCTAAAATACAGGAAATCGATGTTAAGATGTGTGTTCACCCTATGAGATGAAATCTTTGAGGGCAGAAAAGTTTGAATCATTGTTTAAGTGACTTAAGTTTAAGATTCGATGAAGTTCTCACCCCCAAGAGCAACACATTTGTTTTTAGCCACTCCCAATGTAACTGCTACTATAAAAACAGCTAGTTAGATTTTATTCTCAACACATAACAATCTTGACCCCAGGAAGTTTTAGTCATTTGTCTGAGGGAGAAACGCTACTGCCTTAGACAATGCCCAGTAGTTTCTTCATTCAGCCTTCAAGAATAACTTACCACTTCATAAGTCACCTAAACTCAGTGTTTACCCAGAGACAACCTTTGTGCCCTTAGAATGGGCTGGATTACTCTTTCAGCTCCCTTCTGACTCCACTCTGATGCTGTCAGGAGATGTCTTCAGAAGGATGCAGTCAATAAAGGAGCTCAGAGTTTCTGTATACAGTTAAATTGTAAGCCTCACAAGCCAGATTTATTAAAATGTCTGTGAGGCTTTGAATTTAACAGGGCAGCACACACAAAAAAGATGAGGCTGTTTTAAAGCCTCTCTGCTTTGTTATTCTTGACTGATCTTTGAAATTTAAACATTTCAGAAACAATTTAGATCTATCCTTTGTGGTGAAGTTTGACCAGCTATTCCCCAGCTACATAAAGCAGGATAATCTATCATTTAGCCCATCAGTTTTCATTTTTCTGGTGTTTTAGCTTTGTAAGTTTCACTGTTATAAAAGGGAGCTAAGGTTATTCACAAAGGGAAAGCTATCATGGACTTTAGACATAGTTCTAGGACACTGTGTGTACTGTTAGTTTTATGGACCAGAAAAAAATGAAAACTGTGTCACTGAAAAACTACTTCTGCAAGTGATAGAAAATTAACATCAACTTAGGCAGCCTAGAAAATCCTCGGGCGCTGAGGGTAGAAAGACAATTTATATTTTATCAGTTTCCTCTCTAAGCTGATGTAGATCTCTGGTCATAAAAAAAATCTCAAATTGCTCTTAAGATCCCTAAGAAAACGTTCTAGATTAAGGTAACAACATTGGTGTTAGTCAAGGCAGTTCTGTCTGAAGCTCTGTTTATCTAGGTGTATGAACATTTCTGTTTCTCTGCTTAGGATTTTGTTTTACTGTTTGAATCTCCTCCATTTCTCTCTTTTCACTAAAATATTTTTCATTAACAATGAGGTATGCTCAATGTGAAAAAATAAATACAAGCCATGCAAGATGCTGCAGAGCTAATAAGTAAAAAGTGATTTTAAAACTACTCATGATTTATTATAGCTATGCCTTAAAACAAAATTTTTATACATTATATAGTTATGCATTAGAAATAACTTTAACTCCCTATGTGGCAGAAAATATTATTATTGTTTTTTATTATTTTTAAATCTTTAATGTTTATTTATTATTGAGAGACAGAGCGTGAGTGGGGGAGGAGCAGAGAGAGGGAGACAAAGAATCTGAAGCAGGCTCCAGGCTCCGAGCTGTCAGCGCACAGCCCATGTGGGGCTCGAACTCAGAATGGCAAGATCATGACCTGAGCCGAAGTTGGATACTCAACCAACTGAGCCCCCCCAGCGCCCCAGAAAATATTTTTAAATAGTCTTTACGGTGGCTTATTCATGTGAAAAATTAGCCAAAACTGATAGTCTAGAGTATTCTTTAAAAAATTTCATTTACTTCATTTTCAATTTGGTTCTGATTCTACTTAGAAATTCTATAAATATTTACTCTAAAGTTCCATAATTCTTACACTGATTTCTGATTTCGTAATTGTGATTTATGAACGGTTCACGCTCTACTTGAAGGTTACATTTTAATAGCCATGTGTATAACATACCTTACAATAAGACCTAATATATACCACCTTAAAACTATGGATAAATGGCAAAGAAAAAAGTGAACAGACGTTGAGGAGGAAGAGAGTTTATGAATAAAAAAATGCATGTGGATTTTTTTTCAGAATTGATATAAAAATTATGGAGGAGAAACTGCTACTCCACAAGGATAGTGTCCACACTTTCTTGTGTGAGCTCTGACTCTAAGGCACAGGATGAATCTAACTGTTCTTGCGACAAGCAAGAACTTCTCAGGGGGACATCAGACCAGCTGTCACAGTACGGCTGAAATCTCTGGGCTACCGCATTACTGAACCTTTGGCATCGGTTGTATCTCGAAGATTTACCTTTGTGTATATACATGTGTTCCAGCAGTTGGCTTTTTCGGAGAAATTTATGACCACAGATGGAACAGCTGATTTTTCTTTTCCTTGAAAAAGAAAAATTACAGTTTAATTCTACTGGCTCTGAGTCTTTGGAGATCAGAGACACTTGGCTGATCTGCAGAGGCTCAGTGGTACCCTGGTTTGAGTGGTCAGGCTGCTGCTCATTCTCCTTGACAATGAAGGAGCTGACCCTGCGGCATTCAAGAGCCTCACTGTTTTCATTAAGTGGATGCACTTCACCAAGGTCGTTGCTTTCCAGAATGGAAGCAGGGACACCAAACGGGAGGGATCCGGACACGTGGGTATGGAGATGTTGTCTTAGGTTACTACGGGAATCAAAACGTTCCCCACAGTAATGGCATAAGTGTATTTTGATACCGCTTTCGGTGAAAGTGGGGCCTGTCACCTCCGCTGAGGGTGAGGGATGGCTCTGGGAGATCACAGACTCTGGGTCACATCTCTCCTGCTTGATGGACACTGGGGGCTTCTGGTGTTCCTCCAAGGCCTGGGCAGCAGGACGGGCCCTCTGCTGATCGGCAGTGCCATCATCCAGCCCAATAGCGAGAGAGAGCTGCAGCTGGGGGTGGTCGCCCTGCGCAGCAGCCCTGTTGCCACTGTTACTGGAAGGAGCTTCTTTGACCTCCAGCCCCGGTTTGACAGCTGTTTTTTGGGTTGTTGAGATCTGAATGCCATACAGATTGGAGGACTGCACAGTCTCTGGCGAGAACACCTGATTCATTTCAGTCGCAATGTGAGAAAGGTAGTCGGCGTGAAGAAATCGAATCCCTTCCTCCAGACGACTATGATCCACAATCTGTTTTGGCCCTTTCCCCGTATACATAATGTGCAGCAAATAGCTGAATATGTCAGGTTGGATATCAGTTGGTTGTATTTTTATGCATTCACTGTTAAAAACAAAAAACAGAACCGCACAAAATGAAATGACCAGCTGGCCTTTTGGGTAGCAGCATACAGTCTAAGGCTAACGTGATTTCTTCCCAAGAAGTTCAAACTTAGCAATCTGCCTTGATGAAACATATCAACGGAAAATTAAACTTTCACTATACACCAGCTCTGTGGCCCAGCAACAAGTCTTCATGTCTTCAACCTACCGCCTAAAGTTAAGAAACACACACAGATGTTCTGATGAGTTCAACATTTAGGGACTCCTGAGTGATATGCCCTATACGAGCTTCCAGGGAGTAGAAACGTGATGAATAAAACAGGTCCCTTGCTGTTAAGGAACTTACCAGTCTTTTGAATATATAATCAAAAGAACTGAGAATGGGGACCCAAAGGACACCTGCACGCCAGTCTTCACTGCAGCATTATTCACACTAGCCAAAAGGTGGAAGCAATGCGAGTGTCCAGCAACAGGTGCCTGGATAAACAAAATGTGGCCCGTCCGTACAGCAGACTATTACTCAGCCAGAGACAGGAATGAAGCTCTGACACCTGCTACAACATGGATGAACCTGGAAAACGTCTGGTAGGTGAACTAAGCCAGACACAGAAGGACACATTTTGTAGGATGCCACTTATAAAAAATATCTAGAGCAGGCAAATTCATGGAGACGGTAAGTAGATTAGAGGTTACCAGCAGTGTGGGCCGGGAGAGATGGGGAGCTATTGCTTAATGGGCACAGAGTTGCTGTTTTGGGTGATGAAAAGTTTTGAAAATGACAGCGGTGATGGTTGCACAACGCTGCGAATGTACTTAATGCCAGTAATTATATGCTGAAAATGGTTCAAATGGCAAACTGTATGTTATATATATTTTACCAAAATAAAAAATATTAAAAATTTTAAAAGGATCTATTGAAATTGGCAATATTTAGAATTTCAATTACACTAATCCCAGGGGCACCTGGGGGGCTCAGTCGGTTGAGCATCCGACTTCGGCTCAGGTCATGATGTTGTGGCTCGTGGGTTCGAGCCCTGCATCAGGCTCCATGCTGACAGCTCACAGCCTGGAGGCTGCTTAGTTCCTGTGTCTCACTCTCTCTCTGCCCTCCCCTGCTCGCACTCTGTCTCTCTGTCTCTGTCTCTGTCTCTGTCTCTCTCTCATAAATAAATAAATAAATAAATAAATAAATAAATAAATAGCACTAATCTTATTTTGGCTTCCTAACTATATTAACACATCTAGTCTTTACATCACAAATGAATACAGGCATAACTTTGAAAAACTTCAAAATAACCCCAAGCCCAATTTTTAGATATGAATCTAGAATTCAGATAATAGGTGGAAATAATGAGTGAACAAGAAATTGGGAAACACCCTGCAAGATGAGGATAAACAGAACCTGAGGGAAGTGCTGGATGTCAAGGAACAACAGAATCAGTCAACGGACTTACCTTCCCTGAAGCAAAACTTTGTGAATGCTTCACCATGCACTGGGTGTCAGTAAGTATAGCGACAATCCATTTCTTTAGTCCCCGTATCTCGGGATTGCCTCCTGGGTTTCACTCTTAGCTCTCACCCACCCACTTCCAGGGTCTGTGGCAGGGCTTTTTTATATCGGTACAGAGCTCTGTTAACTGAGGATTTTTAGTTGCTCAACAGAGATACCAGACAGCAGGGCTGACACCTTTGCATCTCTTGGATTTAGTTCAGCGTGCATGGTGCCTGGCACACAACAGGCGCTTTGGGAGCTGAACCAACTCACAGCTCTTAGAGGAGACTGATGTGAACGTACTGTTTCTAATCCAGTTTCGACACTGACCCTAACTATGACATGTCCTCCCCTCCAACCTCCTCCCTCCTTGTGCCATGCATTCCAGTCATTCTGACGTACTCTGTTTCCTCAATGTACTAGCCTGGTTCATACCTGCCTATGTTTCCGTGCACTTTTCCCTCTGCCTGCAACGCACCTTCCTGCATTCCTCTACAACATCCAGAAAACTCCTCCTGATCCTTCAAGATACAGGGCCTCAATAAAGCCTATTCCAACCTCCTCAAAATAGAGCTGCTGACACTCCACTCTACCTTCTACAACACTTCTATTATAGACGTATCACGTTAATTATTGATAGCAGTAGCTGACAGTGCAAAGCTCCGTTCCAAGCATTTTAATATTATTAATCCATTTAAATCTCAACACAATGGGGTGAGTTACACATACAATGCCAGTGTCTTACATAGAAGGAAACTGAGGCACAGACAGATCAATTACACTGCGATTGTTTTCTTTACGTGCACTATCTATGAGACTATTAACCCCTTGAGGGCAGGGAGCATAATTAGCCTGTTACTGGGGTCTAGCACAGTGCTGACATTAAGTACCTGATAAATACTTGAATGAATGAATGGGTAAATAAAAATGTGTAATTGAGGCTAGACGCCTAGTATTTCATGCACGGTCCTTTAAAAAAACATAGAGAATTCTATCCCTTTCAATCGAGAATGGATTAAAGCTATTCTTTAAGAGCTCAGAATCTGAATACCACTTTCCTGCCCTCGTCCTACATACCTATCATGTTGGGATAGCCTAAATTCAAAACATCAAAGCACTTTTTGAAAACAGTATTTGAAACAAATGACTTTTGAACTATAGTATGGAATATAAGATGGGTAGAACTATGACATTAAGGCCTTGCTATGAAAGTGCTACAGAACAGGTATCAAAAACTTAGTGGGTTAGAACACAGATCTTTAAAAACACGTATCTGCATTTGAGTGTAACTTATTGGGGGGCTATAATCCTGGATGGACCAATTATTTACTTCAACCTCAGTCTCCTTTTCTCTAAAATAGTGTGGATAAGAGGCACCTGGCTGGCTCAGTCGATTAAGCATCTGCCTCTTGATTTTGGCTCAGGTCATGATCTCACAGTTCATGAGTTCGAGTCCCACATTGGGATCTGTGCTAATGGTCTGGAATCTACTTGGGATTCTGTCTCCCTTGCTCTCTGCCTGCAATCCCCACCCCCACCCCCACACTGTGTTCTGTTTCTTTCTCTCTCAAGAAAAAATAAACAAATAAACTAAAATAAAATAGTGTGCATAACAGTAGAATGTACATTAGGTAAATACTTAGTGCTTGGGTATGGGATAAGCCTCCAATAACTTTTAGCTATTACTGTTTTCATTTTTACCTTCCACCATGGATCCTACACACAGAAATGAATTACTGGATGTGTAAAAAAAAAAATACATAACTTTTTTTTATTTCTTAAGGTGACCCCATGACAAAGAATACCCCAAATGATGTTACAATAAGGTTTAGCTATATCACAGTATTTAAAATTCTTCTGATTTACAAAAGCACATCCTTACCTTGTTTGGTGAATAAATATCATCTTGAAATAGTTAGAAAAAGCAGCAAGCACTGCTCTGTGGGCTTTGAAGTAAACGTCTCCAATAGCAACTGTGCAATCACACAGAAAACCAAATTCTCGCTGCATGTTCAGCTGCTGCAGGAGGACAAGGCTATGGCTACCTGTGTCCATTGTGGCTCTGAGAAAAAGCACAATTTTTGTTTGTTTTTTTTTTTACAAAATTAGCTACAGTTCACACACATCTAGAGTACAAGGACACCTAAATTTAAACGAGATTATTCAATAGTTTTTAATACTGTTAATTTCACCCCAAACCTAGCTAACATGAAATCCCTTCCTTATGAAAATACCAATTCTTCGAAAAAGGTAAAATATGGTCTTTTTTCATTTGGTAAGAAGGTGGCTTGGTATGAGTGACACAGAAGCAAAAGGAAGGCTGTCCTTTTTTAATCCATCTGACCTCAACGTTACCAGTCCTGTTTCCTCACTGGAAAATGGGATTGAGATGCTGACCCATTCCTCAGAGCTAAATGAGTGAGGTTATGTGACAACCACCTCGTGATGGAAACTGCTATTCAAATGTTAACCATAACTGTTAATAACTTAACAGTGTCCTGGCTGGGCTAGAGGTGTTACTGCTCCTTAGGAATCCTCTATGTGGTCAGGGGACACTGGCCTCCTGACTATCATACAATGTTTGGGAAATGTGTCAGTCACAGTACATTCAGGAGCCCTTAAAATAGATACTAAGCCACATCCCCTGATTTACATGGGGCCTGGAACCCTATGGGAAAGAGCGTATACCCTGATATTAACTGGATTCAGACATGCATACAAGTATGGAGGCTCCTGAAGAAACAATACAGAATGGGACCACTGGTCCTGGGAAAAATCACGCATGAGAAAGAACACGCAGAAGAATTCTGCCAGCAAGGGAGAGCAGTGTGAGCAGCAAGGGTACCGAGTGCTGTCGTTACACGTAGGTGGGAGGCCCCGCTTCACCACCTCCTCCCCAACCGTGTAGACAGCTACCAGTGTTTTAAGGAGAAGGCAGCCGGGTACGAAGGTCATCACTGGCAAGCTGGGAAAACCTTCTCTAAAAGAGCAATTTCTGCAAAAGAGAATGAAGTTTCCTCACTAGCCAGAGACCAAAGTCAAAGAGGTCAGCGTTGAAAGTGTGGGGTTAGCTGTCTGGAGATTGGCCGCAGCTTGGGCAGCAAACAGCTGAGTGATCAATTATATAATAGAACCAGCTAACACTTAACGGTGTTTCCTTTCCCTTAGGAACTTTCTACTCATTTAATTCTCAATACAACTCTACAAGAAAAGGGAGTAAGCAATGCACCTTACAGATGAAGAAACTGAATCATTGCAAAATAAACAGACTCAAGTCATATTGCTAGTAAGTGGGAGAGTGGGGATTCAAACCCAGATACTGGGCTCCCGAGCCCAAATGTCCTCCCTTTCCACCTTTCAGAGGGAACATGACCCACAAACTGGAGATGCTTAGGGAATGGTCAGGTTATACATCAAGACACACAGGGAAGCCTTGGGGCGCCTGGGTGGCTCAGTCAGTTAAGCTTCTGACTCTTGGTTTCGGCTCAGGTCATGATCTCACGGTTTGTAAGTTTGAGCCCCGCATCGGGCTGTGCACTGACAGTGTGGAGCCTGCTCAGGATTCTCTCTCTCTCTCTCTCTCTCTCTCTCTCTCTCTCTCTCTCTCCCTCCCTCCCTCCCTCTCTCAAAATAAACTTTAAAAGAAAAAATTATGAAGTATTTCAGATGGACAAATAGGTACAGAGAGCAATGGGACAAACACGCAGCCACCCACCCCTGAGCACATAAGGTAAACGTTACAAACATGGCAGAGACCCCCTGCCATCGCTCCCTCATTTGCACTACCTCCTACCTTGCCTCTGAAGGCCGTCATCATCCTGACTTTGGTGTTTATGACTGTCTTGTAACAGCATTATGTTCTTGCTGCATCTGTACATATCCCTTAAGAAGGGAGAGTACTATTTTGCATGTTTTAAAAGTGTATGTAAATAATAGCGTACTTTAGGAATCCTGCAATTTGCTGCTTTTAGTTCTACATTCATAAATTGCTTTTTAAAATTCTACTTACTCACACATAAGTTTCTCCTAAGCCTCCCCCAATTAAAAAATAAATGAAAACAAAACTCTTACTCCTTGCCATCTCATTTTAAAAGCCTGTAAGCAGTAATGAAATAAGGAAAATAACAGAACCTACAGAGACCCGAGCCTCAATAAAAATCCAAATTGTAAGTATTGTTCCAAAAGGCCATTTGACTAGAAGTCACTACTTATTGTATTTGCTACATTACCCAGATTCCTAAACTCCACCAATTTAGAGAGAGATTTAAACACCAAAATAAAACTGGGTATCCTGAAGATTTCACCATGTGAAAAACATGTGTCTTAGATTCAATGAATGGTTCAAAGCGAAGTAGCTTAAACTAGCCTTACAAATTGTTTAAAGCAAAACAAAACCTCAGATCATAAACATTTTCACCAGATCTATATCTATCTGTCTATATATAGTGCAGTAGTATAATGAGCTATTGAACCACATGGAAATGAGAAAGGGCACACTAAAAAGCCACATATACAAAAATGTTGTGGTTAATCGTCTATGAGTAACAGTTAAATTCTTCACTTACTGAACACATTTTTTTTTGAAGAGAAACTTAACAAAGAAAAAATTATTTGAAAGCACGCATTACACAAGGCCTAGGGATAGAAAAAAAATTACACAGATACTGCAATCAACAAGACTGCAGGCTAATAGGGGAGACAAAACATAAAACATAATAATTATGATATAAAGTAAAAGTGATAAATGTCATTAAGAGCAGTTCAGAGAACATGTTATGGGGGGGCAGGGATCAACAGCAGGTGACTCAATGGAAAATAAGCCATTATTTAGATGGACAGGCAGAGGATGAACATAGCATTCCAGGCAGAAAAAAAATAGGATGAATAGAATTACAGGGAAGAGTATGAATATACAGGTAACTGAAGAATTCAGTCGGGCATAGAAAAAACAAAAGTAAGTGACTAACGAGATGTGGTTAGCTCACACAGGGTACCAATTGTAAAACTGAAAGGTACTCCAGTTGTGTTTGAGATGAACTGTTAAGATGTTTTTGCTGGAGGGAGAACACATAGTAGTTAAAGCTCAGACCCTGGAATTAGACAGCTTGGATTAAAATTTCAATTCTGTCATTTAGCTGTATGATCTTGAGAAGACACTTAACTTTCTGGTCTTTGGTTTTACTTGTAAACTATGGATGGATAATTACAGTATCTATCTATCTCATAGGTTGTTATATAGATTTAATACGATAATGCATATAAGCACTTAAAAGTAGTGGGGCCCATAATACCAAGTATCATCATCATCATCAGGCCTGTTAGTCAAACTGCTCTAGTAACAATACATAAAAAAGATTAGCAAGGGAAAGGTATGGAGAAATAAAGACCAGCAAGGAGTCTGCTGTAATATCCAAATAATGGCAGTGGGAATGAAGGAATAAAAAAAGACGCACCAGACGCAGAACTGACATGACCTGGCAGCAGATTGGAAGTGATAAGCCACAGAGAATATCAAGTCAAAGGGGAGTCTCAGAATTCCAGCTTGGGTCACTGGAAGAATTCGTTCATCCCTTCAGGTCGTATTTGCAGAATAACTGTCAGGTGTCAATACAAAGGCAGGGTCCCAGAATGCTGGGGAAGAGGCATAGAAGCTGTCTTAATAAAAGAGAAGTTTCATTTTGGACATAGTTCAAGGTGTTCACGCTAGGACATCTGAGTAGAACGCTTGGTGATCAATGAGACAACATGAGGACTGGGGCTCTGGAGATCAGGGCTAGACACAGAGAGAAGGGCCTCAGTAATTACACAACCGAAGCCACCAGGAGTGGATGGGACTACTGAGTGAAATAAGAGGGAAAAAAAGCTAAGAATGAATTCTTGAACAACACAGAAAAGACACAAGAAGAAGAAAAGGAGAAATAAGAAAATATATTTTCTTATATAAGGGAATGGTGAAGGAAAGGCAAGAGCCTTGGCTGGGGGAGCCCAACAGCCTCCATTTTCCATGGTGGAAAATGCTGCAGACAAACGTGAGGATGAGGCCTATTACAAATGCCCCAAGCGTGGGGACCAAGAGGTTTCTGGTGACCTTTGACAATGGGAAAGCAGCAAGAGCAAAATATCTCACTGCAAGAGGATGTTAGAAAGCACACGTCATAAAGGGTAGGTACAGATAGGATAGGGCACTGAGAATAGGCAGCTTCAGCTTGGAGAAGACTTCCAGCCTGAAGAGGGGTGGAGTCTCTAGAAGCCAGAAGGAACACTAGCAGAAGTCTTAAGTGTAGTAGTCAGCCACAGAGAAGAGAGGGATTTCTTTCTGATGGTGGCAAGGAGATGATGAGGTGAGGGGAGAATGTGAGAGTAGTCTGTAGATGGCTTTGATTTACATACTATGGAGTTAGTCCATATGCAAAGGGAAGAGCTGAATTTAGGCCTTGAAAGAAACCTAGAGTAATAATCCCTGATGCTAACATATAGTGATGAAGTTTATACAGAACTTTCACATAAAACAATCTCTTTTTCTCTTTTAGGTGTGATACTTTCTATTAACCTGTCTTCAAATTCATGGACTCTTGTCATTTCTGTTAAACTCATTCAGAGAATTTTTAATTTCAGATATATTTCCAGGTCTAAAATTTTCATCTCATTCCTTTTTAGTGTCTGGTTCTCTGCTGAGATTTCCTATTTCTTTGCCCATTACCGCTTTACTTTATGTTCTTGAGCATAGTTATAATAGCTACTTTAAATCTTTTCTGCCAGGGGTGCCTGGGTGGCTCGGTCAGTTAAGTGTTTGGCTCAGGTCATGATCTCACAGTTTGTGAGTTTGAGCCCCGCGTCAGGCTCTGTGCTATTGGTTCAGAGCCTCTGTGCTATTGGTTCAGAGCCTGGAGCCTGCTTCGGATTCCGTGTCTCCCTCTCTCTGCCCCTCCCCTCCCCTGCTTGTGCTCTGTGTCTCTCTCTCAAAAATAAACATTACATCTTCTCTGCCAAATCCAACCTCTGGGTCATCTTGAAATCAATCTTCATTAATTAGGGTGATAGTTTTGTTTCATTTTGGACAAT